GACAGCTGATCCTAACATCGCGCAGGATCCGTATACATCCTTCCCAGCAGAAAAGCTGCAGAGGGAAATGAAGTGGGCCACTGATCGAGAAGCAAAGAGGACAAAAGAAGAACTAAATGGTTAAGTGGTCGAAATCTGTTCTCTAAAACATCAACTGCTCACAAAAAACAAGGTGTGATGTCTTGAAGAATGAGTTGGAGGCTGTCCGCAAGACCAATGCAATGGCAATGGAAAACCGAAACGAAGATCTTGCAAAGGTGAGTGTAATAGTTTCTCTTTGCAGTAATACAATAAATTATGCTCCCATTTAAAATAATAAAACTCTCATTAATTATATTTAGTAGATGTGAGAAGTGAGCTTTCAATTACCAGGTCCCTCTGTATGTCAGTAGACAAATTGAAATCAGGTCATTTGTCGGAAACTCGATAATAGCATAGGGCTTTTAATGTTTATTTTGTCACGAACTGCCAATCTTTGAAGGTGTTAATTTTTATATGAATGGCAAAGATCACGTTATTCCACGTGTTATTGTGAAATAGAGTACGTTTGTTATTTTTCTGTCAGCAATATTGTTTTAGCCAATCAGCTCATGTTTATTCAAGGTGTGCCATAGATTAGGGTTCGCTCGATTGATGCCAGTGAGAGGTGGATTATTTTTGTAGGAGAAAAGAAAAAATCGTGATTAAAAAACCTGAAAGTGAAGACCGAGGACGTTGTGGGCCTTCTTAACCTATTCCCCACACATTTTCACAACATCATTGAATCGCTTTTCAAGCTCTCTGGGTATACGCCTGCTCTTGGTATCTCCAGAGTATTTTACGAAAGTCCAAGACTAGTTTAAAAACGCGATGAAACTGAATTCTTGCTCCCATTGGCAAAATAAATAAAATAAATTATTAATACTTCTGTATATATCACTAACAGGTAATGGAGAAGATGGAAGATGCTATCAGAGTACTGGATGATAAAATAAGCATTAGAATGTCAAGAATAGAGCGGCATCTAGAAACTTTAGGAAGAATGGTAAGTTTTGTAGTAAAAGTTATTTGTCATAGATGTCACAAAGGTGATTGGTCAGACTTTACTCAGCTATCAGTTTTTTTTTTACCAAGGATGATTTATTGAGAAGAATTCACACATATAGAAACACACAAAACTGAATTACTTTTACCCTCTGCCCGCAAAAAAAAAAGTGCAACAGGAAAATACAACGCAAGTTAACAAGAGTTTTAAAATACTGATTTTAAAATAATATCAGATTTTTGATCAAAATGACTACATGCACATTATCGTGCTGAGGTGCTTCAGTGCCAAGGAAAAATATAATTAACTGATTTAATGTGAACCCTGTGCCAACCTTTGCGCCCTCAAACTTCTTCAAACGGTTCTTCATAAAACAAGAGCTGAATACCAGTAACACAGGCAGAACCCGTGGAAAACAGTGCTTGGATAGGAACAAACTGATCAGTTTAAAAGCCTTAGCATTTGCAAAGTTTTCCCTGGAGTCATCAGAAAGAAAAGGGAAAATTTGGCTGGCTATTAAAGGCAAGATTAATACCAAGTATTGGGTTAGCAAGTTGTTGGCTTTCCGAGCAAAATTAACTTCATTACTACTTTTTCTCCTGTGAGGTCAATGACACCCAACATCAAAAGCCGTTCTAGGCATGACATGTACCCTATTCACACCACCACTTGAATGAAAATCATAAACAAAGAACTGAAAAACTTAATTTTCCATAGGATTCATGTACTTGCTAACTTGCATTTGCAATGTGCTACATTTAGGTAAAAAAATATTAGATTAAGTAGTTTCTACACAGAAAAAAATAAACCTTGTTAAACAAAACAACTTTGAAACATGTTTAAGCTTTGGCTTTAGTTCCCTCGTTCGTAAGACGTTCATATCTCAGTGATTTCGGTTAATCGAAATCAAGTTCTAAGCGCCCCACGGTTTTTGGTCCATCAGCAAAGCATTAATTTTTCTTTAATAACCTTATTTCGATGAGAAATTGAAACAGTCTCCATTTTCGATCGTGAGAATAAAGGTCTTGAAATTGACAATAACGAAAAATGAAATGAAAACAATACACAGCAACATTGCTCGTTCCATGATCAAGCCATGCGCTTGGAATGGTTTTGCAAACCATTTAAGCAATTTATTCATCCGTACGATTGGTAAACCAATCGTATGGATTAATTAATATTTTCATCCGTTCCAACAGCTTACCAGTCTGTTCGACATTGTGCGTTTTATTCATCCATTCGAACGGCTAAGCAAACCATTGAAACTGTTCAAATAATAATTAATTAACCCATTTGAACGGTTTGCCCATCCGTTCGAAATTTTTATTCATCCGTTTGAATGGCTGACAAAACTGTTCAAATAATTTATTCACCCGTTTGAACGGTTAGGCAAACTGATTGCTTGTTAGCCGTTCTACCGTTCTACATCTGTGCATTTTTGCCATTCAAATGGTTTTCCGTTTGTGTCCGTTTTGCCTTTCACGGTCACAATTTGCAATTTTATGGCAATTAAACAGCTCCAACAGCCAGGGTAAGTTCAAATATATTATAAGTTTCAAATATGTCGTGGCGACATGTATTTGGCAAGATCTCTAGCATAGTTTGTGATATTTTATATGGTTTTGTGAATTTCACAGGATTTACCTGAAATTCATGGCTCTCCGACCACAAGAAAACATCAGAAACCATGTATCAGTAACCTTCCTCAAAAGTAATAACTAGCCAGAAACAAAATTTGTCTTATTACTGAAATAACCCTACTCTATAATAATTAGCCATGGATAATGACTTTTTCATGCATTTCATTTTGGAAAGTATTCAAAGAATTTATCAAAAGAATCATGGCTGATAAATATTCGATACCCCCACTTAAAAATTGCAAAATAAATTATTAATTTATTTACCTTTAATGCTGCTCCTTTAAGAGCGCTTTCATGATTAACTGACGATAGCTTTCCACGACTTAACTATTGAACAACAGCTGTGTGAAGAAATGATGGTGAAGGTCCACTTTGCATAATTGACACAACCTTCAGCTCAGCAGCCAAGCAGCAATCCCTTTGATCTAATACCAGTCACCTGAAACTCTGCTACAAAGTTTTTTATGACTCACAATTATTTAATTAAAAGCACAAAAAGGCATACCTGTGAAGCACTCTCTTTGCTCCCCATTGTCTATTGTCAGTTCTCCAATGGATACAATTTTAACATGGTCATCTACACCTCGTAGCTGATTTCATCGAGGCTGTTTAATATCTTTCCATATGTGCCTCTGCCGGATATTCATTCTGACTAGAATGAATAACATGTTGTTGAGCAACCCATGGAGGATACCCTTAATGCTTTCCTTGGTCTCAGGCTGAGTAACCTGTAGAGCTGGATCTATTATGCAAACTTCTCTTCCTTCATCCGCACAATTTGAATTTTGTTGCTTTCCATCATTTGATACATTGCTCACCCAAACATTGTAGCACACATCTGCATGTTTTTTGATAATTGTAATTACAGGAAAAATGAAACAATATGTGGGTCATTCCACATAATTGTTGTCAGGGATGATCTCAACTGTAGGTAACACTGAATCTTTACTTGCTGGGTCTTTTCAGAACACCTGTTCCTCATCATTTTTTTGTGTTTTGTCATCGCTTCAACTAGGCTGATCTTCCCACTCATTGTCACTTTCATAAGAAAATGATAACTCAGAGAACAAAAAGTCACTTTACTTGCAAAAAAATTGAACTAGTAGTACAATTGTGCATTTTTCAAAACCTTTTTTGTACGAGGTAAATTCATCACCCAAATCTGGTCAGGGAAAAGCAGAATAAAGTCTAAACCTTCATGGGTTATTTTGTGATGAGCAAGTTTTGTTAGAGCTTTCTTGAGAATCACATCACTAGTAGCTGTCGACTTTTCATTCACAGGTAACATTTTCCCTTGGCATCGCTTCAGGTTAAAGGTCAAGCTTTTGAACAAGCAAGCAAAATATGGTAATGAATATTGGTACATCTTTGTAGGTATGATCAACTTCACAAAAGAAATGTCCGAAGACAAGCTTAGCCCTTTACATCCTCACACCAGTATGCTTAATCTCCATTCACACTGTTCAAGATAATTTGTTTAACAATCAAGAACTTCCTTATTTAGGGATCATTTCCTTTATTCTTGTGACCTTAATGTAGGATTCAGGTGTGATATTTTAAGGAGAAATTACATGTAGTTGCTGGTCACTTTTAGGGGCTGTAAGCAAAAGACTGGATGAAGTTGAGAGGCGCTTGCTTAATATTACACCACGCAACTGCATTTCAAGAACACCAAGAAGCATTGTGAAGGATTTTTCTTATTGGAAAGCTTCTGAATTCCAGTCGTTTTTGTTTTTTGTGGCATCCCATGTCTGTGGAATATTTTGCTTGATGAATATTTTCAGCATTGTATTCTTCTTGTGGAAGCAATCTGGCTATTAGATCAGATTTCAGCTTCACCTGAGTGCTTACAAAAAGCATACAACTTGTTACGGCACTTCTTCTAATGACATTTTGCAAGAAACACAGTTCCTGTGGCTTCTTGACAGTTGTGTTCTACTGATTTAAAATCTTCTTTCTTGGAATGGTTTTTGAACATATATTAAATTTAGTGCTTAAAGTGTTTCAGTTTTAAAGGAGCTGTGTAGAGATTTCAAGATTGTAGACTTGCAGGCCAGATTGTCTGTAATTAAGTTTTAAAGGTATACACAAAGTATACTTTATTTTCTATGGCAACTTTTTTGCAAATTCCAAGGGTTTAGGAAAGTATACTTGAAGTATACTTTTCCCATTTAAGTACAAATAAAGTACATTTATTACAATTTGCTTAATAAACTTCATTTACACTTTTTTTGTTGAAGTCTAAATTAAGTATACTTCAAATGTACTTCGTTTCTGGAAAGTACAGAAAAAGTATACTTGAAGTATACTTAAAGTATACTGAAATTGTACAAGGGACTGCACGTATCAGAAAGTGACAAGGCAAGTAAAATGAACTGTAAGTTAGTTCACCGTCTGTATATTTTCAATGCATAAGAGAAGAAATATTCAGAGCACTTTAAATGTACCTTAACTCTTACATGTTCACTCTTCATTATTCTTTGAATGTGTACAACTGTTTTAGTACTGTAACTCACTACAAGCAACAGAAATAAAAACTCAGTATGGATGTCATGTTATTTCTTAACTGAATAAATACATTCTGATTAATGATGTCCCTTTAAATCTCAAGTCGTCACAAAGAACCCAAGAATCAGAGGGAGCTGCTACATCAGAGGCAATCTTATCATAATTCACTAATGCTATGACTTCTTTCAATCAGCTTTTTTTCTTCACACAATAACATACATTTCACATAATTGCCATCATTGTTGGCTATGTTGGCACCTACCTTTGGTGTTTGTTACACCAGATCTCCTGGTTCAGTACTGTTATCATTCCAGCTAGACTGTTAGGATTGTGATCTTTGAGGTGATGATATTTTAAAGATTCATTCTAAGACTCATTATGCCATTATTGGTGATGATATAGACCATAAACCTGTCTTGTCTATATGCCCACATTCATCACCTAAATAGCAAAGATCACATGTTGGTATCTCAGATCATTATGTTATTCTAATTAATTAAAGCACTTCCTTAACCCTAAATAAAAAATTAAAAATTGAGTAGTTCAGAGTTTCCTGTATAAGAAATATATGCAACAGCTGCCAATCATAATGTTATAATGCGGTCCTTATGAAGAGAAAATGGTCAGATTAAATATCGTTGTGTTTCTACCGAACGTCTCAGTGGTTATTCAGCCGTAAACACCACAGTAATAATGTTATAAGCTGGAGAAAATGGTCAGAACTGAGAAATTAGGAATTATGACATTTCTCTTCCTTTCCCTATTCTTAGTTGATGCATTTCATTCTAAAATTCTTTAATAAAACAGTGATGTCTCACATGTTACTATCAGCAGTGCTAAGCCATGTAAACAGAGTGAAATAATCATTACCTTTGCTTCTGCCAACCATGTTTTATCAAACCAGTTCTTCAGCTTTGGATTTGCCATCCAGAGGCTTTTGTCCTGTAGGGAAGTCATATTTTTCTACAATTAATCCTTTGATGTTGATTTGGCAACAGCTCAAACCAAAGTCAAAACCTTCATTTTTAGTCTTCCCCAGTCACCTTTCCCACCACCAGTGCTAACAGAGAAAGTCACAGATGTGTGGGGTCCATTTGTAGCACACCACATTTGTGAAAGCATACAAAGGTGCCGTTTATTAGGACTTGTGTTAGTTGTTTAGAGTCTTTATAAGAAGTGTAAAAATAATGCATCTACAATGCAAATCTACAGCACCAAACAGGTGCATTGATTAAGCAACCTCCAAATGACTGCTGTTGTTTTCAGAAGTTAGCGCATTTTCAATCTTTATTATTAATTCCCTACCTGTGAATGTTTTCTTGATTGTGTTTGTCTGTATTTTCTCAAGACAAAAGTCTGTCAAAAAATATCAGGGCTTCCAAGTGTCATTTTCATAATTAGAGATTGCTAACAGTCCTCATATTGCAGCTGTTGTTTCACTTTGAATAATGAAAGAGCCCATCCCTCCACAGTTCACATTGGTTTTAACAACCAGAAAGAATAGTGGCAAGTTGTATCTCACAGTCTTTTAAATAGCATCCAGCAGTGTAATCTCATTTCCAAATTGATTTAACAGCTACTTCTGTTTTTTTGTTGTGCAACCAACACAGTTTCAGCTTTTGTTGTTTCATCACTTCCTCTTCTTTGGTTTTCCTGGTCAACTCTGGACCACATCTTCATAGATGCCTGGGATGTGTGGGTCTGTTGGCTAGAAGTGCCTATTTGTTGGTAGTTGTGGTGGATTTTGGCCTGCATAATTTTATCTCTTTTGACAAACTGCTTACAGTGTCTTTCATCTCTTGCATTCTGTTGATAAGCTGTTTGTCAATAGCCTGGAGAATACCACCAAGATAAATGTTTGATACAAGAGAAAGTTAATGCAATTCCATGCTACAATCAACATCAAAATGAGTTGAAACTTATTTGAAGAGTTCTATTTATGTGTAGAATAACACTCCTGTCTCTACCACACTCTAAATCATTGACAAGAACCTCGCTTCCCTCATTCAAAGTTGCCTGTATCTAGCTAAAGGTTCATGGAAACACTATACAACATTGTTTTGGGGAGTAGGTGAATAGGTTAACTAACAAGATGTGTCAACAATTTTGTTACTGAAAACAAAATGAAACCCAATTCAGATTCCCACAAAAACATGAAGGCCTTTTGCCAGCCATCATTACAAAAGCCATGTGTGTTAGAATAAAAATTTAAAAACATATTCATTAAAAAGAACAAACCTCTTAAATGATATGATCCATCCTGAGTTGCTCAGTGTCATTCCTGGTCTACACAGTAAGAAAAGTTAAATAGATCGATAACTTTACAACCTTGTTGAAAATAAAAATGCTTTGTGTTTAACATGTGCTGTTAACAAGTTGGAAAATGTAAAAAAAATTGTCCTTACTGAAATATCAAAATATCTGCATTGTGAAGTTGAACAGATTTTTTCTTTTTCATGTCTTGAATGCCATTTTGTACTTATTAGTGAGTGTTTTGGTATCTCTCTTAAGTGTTAAGTTATTTGAATAACAGTACATAAGTGTCAAGTAATTGAGTATTAATTCTGAGAGTCTATGAACACCTCTGCACTGCAGTTAATTCTAACATGGACGAACTCCCAGCATCTCGCTTCGTGGATGCAGCAGAAGAAGATCCATATTGGATCTATCCATTCATAGTAATCAAATCTGCTTTTTCAATGTTGACTGGCTCTTCAACAGAAAACTTAATGCAAGTGCTACATGTAAAATCAATGCTAGCCAGTTTTGCTCAAGGTTTTTCTAAGAGTAACAGAGCTACAGTTAAGCAAGCCATGAGGAAGGCTCATCATGTGAACTATACATTTGTTTGGAAGAGAACCCTACAACAACTTAATCATGAGTTTCAAGTTCTCGATAAGTTGGATGAAGTTTTGAACCCCTTGAGAAGTAGTTCCTTAGAGAAAGCAAAATGTGCCCTGAAAGAAGGTACCGCTTTAGTATTGAAAAAGAATAGGGGTCATAATTCTAACTGATAAGTGCAGGTTTGGTTGGCTTACAGTCAACAAATATCTATCTGACAAGCTCTGATGATGAAAAGAAAATGTTTCAAGCAGAGAGGAGAGCAGAGAGGAAAGTGGTTAAGGATATGCATCGCCGGCAGCAACAAGCTAGTTCTTCTTGAGGACCATCCAGTAACCAGTCAAGTACTTCAGTCCCTCCAGGTTCTTCCAATTTGTTGGCAGATTATTGCCTAGTGTGTAGAGATTTCAGCAAGTTCCACAGTTTAGGTCTCTGTTTCCAGATGAGTGTCATATTCATCTCTTTTTTCATTTGGATCTTTATCCACATCTTTACTAGTTTTTTCCTTCAAATGTACAGCATTTACCATACAGGCCATATTCCAGTAATCTCCCAGGATTTCTAATATCTTGCAGCTGTTTTGATTATTCAAGTTAGAGCAGAATAGCATGATGGAAGCCAAGAATTGTTGGCATAATGTTGTACTTGAAGTCTTGCCCAAGTGCAAAGGGAACTGTATTTACTCACCAATAAGCCACCCCAAACTTTTGATTAATTTTGGTGGAAATAACGATCAGTGAATTGCAATCAGAAATAATGAGTGTAGCTGTCCCGATGAAACCCATTGACAAAGAAAAATTGTAATAGTTTTATTAACCAGGCTTAGAATAAAATTAACAAGAGGCCACAGTTTGCTATACAGAGTAATAAGTAACAGAACAATAAGAAACAGGTAATGGCACTGAGTGGTTCTGTGACTATTTGGAAGCTTTCAGAGCAATCTCACCAAGTTAGACTCACAACATCTCCAGATTTACCTTAGTTCTTTCAATCATTTCTAACCTTTAACATGTAAATTTTCACCTTACACTTTTTTAGAGTTTATTTCAGGTATCATTGAACAAAAAATTATTGGAGTTTTAAGTGCAAATCCAACACTATCTCAAGTAATTTTAATTGTTTGTGAACTGATGTGAAAACGAGCTGTGGGAACAGTTTAAGGTTACTGCCTGATTGATTTGATTCAATAATCTTATGTCAACATTAGCATCTGGATTGATGGGGATAAGCTTTTAAACGCTTCAACAGACCACAATAATCATGTGCTTTTCAAAATTCAAGAAATTGACTGCTGCATATCTATATTTCACTCAGTTAAAAAAAGGGAAACTTGCAGTCTTAATATGGTCCAAGATGTATTGTTTGGAGGCAGGAGACTTGGTGCCAAAACACTTTTACCTGCATTTAGGCTGCGCCCCCAACTTTTATCCTATTTCTATGTAGCCTAGCTGAGGATAAAAACGGTAATATAAGTATACTTGTATGACATAATAATAGCTAAATGACAAATTTGGATTTATTTAACATTGAGACAAAAAAAGGTGTTTATTTATATCACAAGGTAACAAACCAAATATTTAACAATTATAAGCAAAAAGTGAGGGGAATATTCTTGAATAATTCCCTCTGCTTTATCACGGGTATTATATGACAACACTCTCAGAGCCTGAGGATAATTATTCTTTACTTATATTGTTATTGGTCAGCTGATTATCAGACTAGCTGCATTTTGCTAAAAAAATTTCCACTACACAAACATTTAAAAATTGGCAAATTTTTTAAATTAGTGGTATCACCTCAATTGCTGGTCAACTGTGGCGGAATAACTAAATTTGTGACTCCAATTCAAATTTGGAGACAACTCTTTGGCATATGGTCACTGCTTTTTGTTACATTTTGTGTGCTATTGACAAGTCAGTTTCACAGATAAAAAAACATAAGTGCACATAAATCATTCCTCAAACTGACCCCAGTTCATAATACTCTGGTCCAACCCAAACAATTAACATTGATTAATTTGACAGTTAATCAAATCTTTTTTCAAACAGGTTTGTTAAAAAAATTAATTTTAACATGCAAGTACATCATAGAATAATGAAAGACACTGCACTATCACTTAGATAAAACCAAAATTGAAAACAAATCTTGCCTCATTTTTTTTTACACAAAGTGTGCAGCAAGTGAGACTAGAATTTCTGTCAGAGATCAATGACATCTATCACTTTCACAAATGGTACCAAGTGTAAATCACTAGTCTTCCTCTCCAACAAATCACATGTCAACAAAATTTTTTGGCTAGCACAGCTTGAATGCGTTTTACAAAAATCCCACCAGACTATCTAATGCACATCAGCGTAGACAGTTTTCTTTCAGCAATTTCTTACATGCCTTTCATTAATTTCTTACAAGCTTTGCTTTGAGAATGAATGAAGAAAAGCTTACATTCCCAAAATGTTTACAGCACCATGTTTTTGGCTCATTTGATTTGTTTCCAGTAGTCTCTTAATAGTCACACTGGTACTAACCAGTCATTAATAATCAGTCACAAGTCACACAAGCTCTTTTTGTGTGAGTGGATGTAATTGGTTTGTATCCCACAATGAACAACATGAGGGTGATTATGATTGACTGTCAAAACCTTTTCAAAGTTTTTTTTGTGCTTATCCACAACAAGGTTTTTTGTTCCCTGAATCTTCATTCCTACCCCTTCCCACTTCTCCCCCTAGCAGACTCCTAAAACCCCAGCTACTTTTTCATTTCCCTGCCTGCCTGAAAAATTATTGACAGCCCTGCAGGGGGTAATGCTTAAATCACCAATTGAACTCAACCCAGCAGAAATGCCAGCTATATGTGACGAGTTAACAACCGTGTAAAAATAAGAATTAAAAATGTTAAATTAAAATATATTTATTAAATTGCCATTATCCTAAATTTAAATGCATGCTATATACCTGTCACTGAGATGGCTCTGTAACAACCTTGGGCCCAGTTGCATACAACACTGTCTTTCCTAACACATCGACAGTCTGCCAGGTGTGCCATTCAGGTCTGTCAGCTGTTTCGTTCGATCGTTGAATTGCTCGGTAACAGAACTTTTAAATGATCCAGTGCACTTGTTATATACTAAATGAAACTATGGTGTGGATTCCCAAACACATTCAATGTTGGAAGGGACGCGAAAGGATAGCTGAATCCCGCGTTGTCCCAGGGAAAGCAACATATATCATCGTCCTAAACCAGATGAGCCCACGACATATCAGCGGCATCTTGTATGAGTATCCGCAATTTACAACGTGACTTCCGCTTTTTCTTGTTGACGCGTACTCACAGGGTACTCGAGTGTTAGGAAGTTCGCGTAGTGCGTCTGAGCCAGTTTCTGCCAGATTTGAACAGAAAAACAGGTCCTTTGTTTGACTGTAATGATACTTTGATCGATGGCGCTGTTAACGAAATGTTTGGCCGGTTCGTAAGTTGTCAACCTGGTTTCGGTCGATCTGATTGATTGGCAACATCTCTGAAATCCTACACACCATCGACCTAAACCTCATAGCTGCCAAGTGAGCAGAAGAACAATGACATCAGAATACTCGAGAAAGTTAAGTATTAATTTTAATTGCATTTGTGTTAAACTTATATGTATAGAAATTTCTGAAGAGGTACTTAATCAGAAGTTTATCACACGATAAGCCTTCAAACTTGTATTGAATAAATTGATGTACATATTTCACAATTTTAAGATGATTGTGTGATGACAGTACACCGACGGTCAACATTCGAATATTCAGCTTGAGCTTCCTCCTAAATGTTAAGTATTTCAATTTGAACTTGTAGAATATAACCTATGGATTAAATGTGGGTCTACAAGTATCATCCATGAAATTCTTACAGGCAATTTTCATCCCAGAGTAAGCACGACACCTTTATACATCCTTCTCACTTGTAGATAAAAAACCTTTAATATATCTACATTCTCTGAAAACACCTTAGGCCTAAAATCATAGTCATGTGATATCAATATATAACACACTGAGATCTAAGGTCAAGATGAGCTT